CACAGGGATTTAGACGTCTGAGCTCTTATTAGAATTATTAAAAGTTTGACCATTATAGCACTTATTGAATTTTGACACTAAATTTAACAAAATAATATATTAGATTTTAATAATTTTAATGCAATTGTAAAGATTTGAACTCATGCTCTTCCTTTGAATTATACAGAACCTAGCAACAAAGTTATTTGGTGAGTACAGTTTATTCTTATAACAGAATTATATGCGTTCAACTTGAACAAAATAATTGTTATATTTAAATTTTAGGTCTTGTTTGATTTCATTTATTTCAGTTCTCTCTTCTTTTTAATCATAACATTTTTAATAAAATAATATTATACGCAAATTCCTATTTTTTTTTATTTTTTAACTACACATTCTCAATCAAATCACCATTCCAAAATGTATTTTTTTTGCAAAAAAATAAAAATAAATAAATAAATAATAAATAAATTAAAAAATTAAAAAAAGACATCAAAATGCTCTTAATATTTTATTACGGTCAACGGTTGACGGCCGACTACCGCTTGTGCTAACTCAAAATCTTGAATCCGCCACTATTTGTTAGCACAAACTTATTTTGATTGAGAACACGTCACAAGAGAAGAAACTCTCAAATTATTATACAATATGGTATGGTTGAAAAAGATTTAATAAATTAATTAAGTGATAAAAATAAATTCATACAAATATCCATTTCGCCATTGTTTGATGGGGATTAAAATCAGATTTTAGCAAATTTTGGTAAAAGTTGATAAATATATAGTTAAAAGTTGTAGATTTCATAAAATATATAATAAAAATTCATTGTTGACTTTAACTTTAATTAATATTTAAATTTTAATATGTACCAACCGGGACGAAATAAGAACATTTTTTGTAAAATCATACAATTGCAGAATTACATTATTATCCGCTCAAATAAATTAAAAAGATGGCTACTTAACTTAATCACACATTTTTTAACATAAATTTCATTAAAGAAACTTGATTTTAAAATTCACCACCAACCTCATCATCAGTCGAAAAATCCCTGCACAAAACAAATAGACAAACTCGATTACATTAGAAACATGCTGCATTATCGGGGCCTATGTGGCCCGGGTAATGGCGGGGGCCAATTGAGGCCCTGATAATGGGGTAATCCATTACATTATTACTTCTTGAAATTGTTTATTTTAACCCTAAGCATCTTTCTTCGGCTTCTGCAATTCTTGATTTCTCTTTCAACAGTTCAATCAAGAAACATGGCTTCCATTTTCAAGATCCCATCAAGCTGTATTGCTCACTCATCCACTGGTTTTAGGTCCAAAAGATCTTCTGACCAGCACAGGTTCTTAGTCAATCTCCGCACCAAAATCACCTTTGATATCAGACTTTCATCATCCAAATTGTCCCCGTGCACCAACAATTCCACCAAGCAGGGGTGGAGGTAGAAAATTTGTTCGGTGCGAACATAATTTAACCTATGTCGGACATTGAGTTTTGATCATGAATTTAATGATCATAAAATTATAAAACAAAATCATGGGATCGGACCCAAAAATAAAATCAGTGTACATTTAAACATGTGTTTTATTCCACTTCCCCTGTTGCTAAAAAAAAAAAAAAAAAAAGGAGAGAGAGGGTTTGGGCCTAAAATTTCAGTGTTCTCAACATGGCTCCGCCCTTGCCACCAAGTGTCTCCTTGGTGCAAGTTCATGTACTACATCACTTGCTTCAATTTTTAATTCATTTTCTTGGAGCAAAAACTTTTTTGTGATTTAGTTGGTCATTCATCCATTACCAAGACAATCACAATTCTCTCATCTTCTTTTCTTACATTCTCACAAATTATTATTTTATTTTTTTCTTGAACAAAGAAGGCTATTCTTTTAGTGGAACTTTTGACACAACTAATTGGTCAGAGTTTGTTTGAGTTATACGAGGAACAGTTGGATAGCTGTATCCTAAAAGGGACAAGTCAGAGGTCATTTCTACTGCCCAAGTTCTATGCTTTGCCAACCGCAGAGGATTGAATCTCTTTAAAGAGAGCGAGATATCCACGTCTCCATCCATCGCATTCCGTTCTTTTCCTATTTTTATTTTTTTATGCCATTTTTTTTATTGGAATTTCTCTAACATGAAACAATTCACATTTAGTAAATATAAGTCCATACGGTGTTATTATCCTGAAAACCATAAAGAAAAATGGTGAGGAAAACCTATAAACTATAATAACCGTAGAAATTTTGGATGTACAACTTTTGCACATTAAAATGAAGGAATATTGAAGCCTAGGTCTCTAAATTAAGTATGTTTGGGTTATGGTGAAGGTGAACGTGAAGGTGTTAAGAGTCATATGTTTTGAATGAACGAGATAAAAGGTAGGGCTGACCCTAAGATTTTTGAGACCCGAACTTTGCTATTTGTATACTGATTTATGATACTTTGGTTGACACTTGCATTGTTGCAAGTGTCAATTGGATGAAAAAATTGTTTGAAATTTAAATTGTTCAATAGGATAATGTCATGTGGCAAAATCTAAATTAAAGTGTACACCATAGGATACATGAGGTTCAAAATTTAAAGATTAAATTGCTATATAGCCAATAAATTATGAACCAATTTTTTATTATTCATCTTTTACTCCAAGAACTTTTTCTCTCTTTCTTCGTTTGGCAGTATTTCCTTTCAATTGTGTTACTCAAAGAGGAAAATTTGACAGGAAATGGTGACATACAACACTTGGCATTTATTCATTAGAAGATGAAAATTTTAAAAATAAAAATAAAAAATAGAATCATAGTTCGCCACATCAGCTCTATTAATTTTTCCCGTCCAATTTCTCTGTTCGAGTGGCTTAATTCATTTCCTTTACCTTTCTCCTCCACACTCTTTTGCTCTATTAACAGCTTGTTTGAGCCCCATTATTTAGAAAAAAATGTATTCTTCTACAGTATTTTGACATCATTTTAATCACACATTTTTCAATAAAATAATGTTACATATAAATGCAAAATTTGTTAACCACACATTTTTCATCAATGCACTATTCAAAAATTTATTTTTCCTTCAAAATGGGGCTCAAACAAGGGCTAAGTAAGTTTCACTCTCTATTTCCTTCCCTATTAGGTAAAATTCCATTTTCGTTTTCATCTCCACCCTTTTTATTTAATTGATTATCTTAGTCCAATTATTTTTGCTACTATAATGAAGGGAAGTGATTAAATGATATTCCATTTGGAATTGACAAATGAAGGCTAGCAAAAATTAGTTGTAAGGTATTCGTTTTCCACTTTTGGAGAAGCATCATAGGAGTTCGTCAACATAGCCATACATTATTGGTTGAAACTTTTAAGATCTGTATGAAATTGAGAATTTCTGCTTTGAAAATGGTGAAGAAAATGCTTTTTCATCTCCATTTAATTTTTTTACTTTACTCTTGTTAAAAAAATTTTGGTGTTTATACATTTATGATTGGTTTTTTTATTCTGCCTTGGGTCATTGATGATCGTTCGATAAAACTGAAATGCCTTGTTTAATTGAATTAAATGAAGATTCTCATGTAAACAAGCAAAATAGAAATGACAATAGTTTGAAACCATTGGAGGAATATTTGTCTGAAATTGATCATGCAATTGGGACAGAGTATGTGACAACCCAAGTTCTAAAGTTCGAGTGCCACTAAAATCGTACTTTGAACGTCATATTGCACTTTCAAAATGCTTGAAATTTATTTAAATAATATCATGAAATATTAAGAGTCAATAACTAACTTTAAAAAAAAATGACATCAACATTTTGAAAAAATTAATAAAATTTTTAGCAATCTTAATATCAAACCAATAATTAAATAAGTTCTTAAATAAATAAAAGTAAGCCTAGTGGATTTCTTTCACTTGCCAATTCGCCAATTGTCTCGTGCCTTAATTGTCATGAACCATTAATTTCCTGAAAGTAATACATGGATTGATATTGCAAGGAATTTAAGGAACTTCGTACTTACATAAATACATACATAGTGAGACATAAAAATCTATACCAAACATAGGTGATATGAGATTTTCATGTGTAGTACTACTATAATATGGTTGTCCAAACTTAGAACAGATAAAAAGATCTCATAATCAATAATGTTCCAAAAATCTGACATGCACATATAATCCATAAAAATACTTATATACTTGGAACTTCAACTCTTGACCCACATACTAAAGAATATACTATATTTATATTTGTATGTATTTCACAGAGAAATGAATGTATTTAAAAATGGAACATATAATACCTATTTATAGCGGCCACCATTATTTGAGAGATCTAATTCAATTGAACTTTGAATCTTAAAAGTGAGAAAATCTTATAATTATCTTTACCGTATTTCAACTAATGGGATAAGGTAATGAATTTAAAATAACAAAAAAGAAATTATCTCCATAATTTCTAAAATTAAATAAAGTAGAAATAAAATCAAAATATTATCTTTATAATTTAATAATTCGATTTTAATTGAAAGAGATAACATCAAAATATTTACTCAATTATTTTTTAACATTAAATAAATAAAAGGGAAAATTGCAGTCGAGGTACCAAACCTTTCGTTTATTAGCAGACTTTGCCCAAACCTTTAATTTGTGCCACTGGAGGTACCAAACCGTTCAAAAATCTGCACCCGAAGTCCAAATGGATGGAAACCGTCCATTTGACCGTTAGTTGACCAATAAAATTAAACGTTGACCAAATTTTGACAAATTGAAAAGAGTAAAAAGGTAAAAGTTACTTAATCCTTTAATAAAACAATTAAAATAAATAACTAAAACATTAAAACAAATACTATTCATCTCCTTCTTCACCCACCCCACGCCCACCCGCACACCACCATACCCCCACCCCATCCAAAACCAAAAACAGAAATTAAACAGCTGCATTCTTCTTCAACCTCCGCATCCCATCGCACCCCACCATCAACCCAAACCCAAAACAGCCGCCTTTTTCTTCAACCAGAGGATGTGGTCGATCCCATGCTGGATCGGAACGATCAACATTACTACGAGTATGTGAGCATAGAGAATCAGATTCCACAATATGATGGGATCCTGCTGAATACATGGGAAGATTTGGACTCCACAACTCTGAAAGCTTTCGAGGAAAATGAAATCTGGAGGTCGATGGTGAAGATCCCAGTTTTGGCTCAGCAAATTACAGAGCTGTGGAGGTGGGATGCTTTCGGCTCAATAATATTTGTTTCATTTGGAAGTGGTGGGATGCTTTCAGCTCAGCAAATTACAAAGCTAGTTATTGGTTTAGAATTGAGTGAACAGAGATTTATTTGGGTGGTGCGCCCACCCATGAAAGGTGCAGCTGACGAATCATTTTTCACCATAAAAATCGCTGATTCAGATGATACTTTGCACTACTTGCTTGAAGGGTTTTTGACCAGGAGTGGGGTGAGGTGGGGTGCGATGGGGTGGGGAGGTTGAAGAAGAAAGCAGCTATTTAATTTCTGTTTTTGGTTTTGGATGGCGTGGGAGTAGGGTGGCGTGCGGGTGGGGGTGGGGTGGGTGAAGAAGGAGATGAATAGTATTTTTTTAATGTTTTAGTTATTTATTTTAATTGTTTTATTATAGGGTTAAGTAACTATTACCTTTTTACCCTTTTCAATTGGTCAAAAATTGGTCAATGTTTAATTTTATTGGTCAACTAACGGTCAAATGGGCGGTTTCCATCCATTTGGACTTCAAGTACAGATTTTTGAAAGGTTTGATACCTCCAATGGTACAAATTAAAGGTTTGGACAGAGTCTGCTAATAAACAAAAGGTTTGGTACCTCGGCTGCAATTTTCCCTAAATAAAATATAGATAAAATTAAATTATTATTTTAAAAGGAAATTGATTTGATTTACAATCAGTTGAAATTTCAATATAACTAAAAGAGATAAAATTAAAACATCATCTCCATTATTTTATTAAAATTAAGTAAGATTTTAGTAACTTGGGCTTAAGCCTAAAAGGGGGGCCCAAAAACAAAAAAATAAAAATAAAAAAAAAACCCAAGAAGGGGGTGGGATATTATTTCACATAATTGGCTTCCATATAATTTATTTGACTAAATTATTAATCGCGTCTATTTTTTTTATAACGGGCCAAACCTAAAAAATTAAAATTAGGTCATAGGTATGTGTATTACACAGCAAGCCAAACCTAAAAAAATTAAAATTAGGTCATAGGTATGTGTATTACACAGCAAACTCAAGATGAATCTACTGAAGAGATTTCTCAAACATTACCAGTGAGAAACCAATAAAATATAGTCATTCTGATTTTGCTTCATTACTTACCTTTCAAGATTATTTTGAAAATGAACCAAAACCCTTGAAGGATGCGATGGTAAATAAAGATGCAAAAAATGTAGCTCTTATGCGATTCAATACAGATTTTGACAAGGTATCGAACTAATTGTTCCTGGTCATTTATTTTTAACTTGAGAATTTCACCATAACCTAAATCTGAAGCATCAATTTCAATATTAAGAAACTCATATGGTTTTAACAAGGGTTTTGACAGCTGGGTTTACAAATTTTACTGCTGAAGTGTGCTCTTGACTCCTCTTAGGAGGATATTTTTTCTAAGTCTTTGGGCTCTCGTCTTGAAGTTCTTCACACTTTTGGTCAAAGCTTCCTTTGGCCTATGCTCTTCGTTCTGAAGCTCAACTGAAGCCCTCTCTCCATTTGAATCTTCCTTTGGCTGAAGTCCTTGCTGTCTTTTAGAGGATTTGCAAGTAATTTTTAGAAATGATTGATGTAACAATTTTTTGAAATTCTAAATGAGCATTTTTAATCCAAATGAAACTTTAAATGTTGTTTTATATTTGTCTTGCTCATAAATTTGGATTTGCCAAATGTCAGATTTCATATAAAATTTTAAAAATATAATTGTCTTAAAAAGCTTATTTGGTAGATCTTTCTTTTGAGGCAAATGATATCGGATTCATTGAAACATCTTGTTCAAGGGCTTATAATTAATAACCAATCTTGGGGCACCTCTTTCTATTTCACTTTGATTACTAATGTGGAAAGCATAACAACTTCAGATTTCGACCAAAACTCTATAAATAAGCAATTCTTGTAACAGTAATATTTGTTTCTAACGCAACTCTTTACGCTTGATATCACACTCGGCTTTCTCTCTCGCTTATTCCATATTTATTTGCTTAATTTTTATTTTTTATTTAATGTTGAAATCATAACAACTTCAGGGATATTTACTTGTTCTGATTAAATTTTTTTGAATAAATCATCACTTCTTTAATACAGTAATCAAGTAATTCTTTACTCATTTGAATTGGTTTAGACTTGGTAGGAATTTTTTATTCATCGAAATCAGGAATATATGGCGAAGAAATAATATGTTTCTCTCTATCTCAAAAGACATTTGGAATAGTAGAGCATTGATGTGAAATTTGGCCCTTCTTGTCTACTGTTACAGTAGAAAAATAAATTTTGGAATAATGAATTTTTGGAAAATGTATGTTTAAAAAGTAGAAAAACATTTTAAATTTACGTGCAAAATATTTTATTGTGAGAATGTGTGGTTGAAATGAGTTTGATAAAGAAATGAGTTTTGAAATAATGTTAGATAAACAGGGGTTTGGTATGCATTTTTTTTTTTTAAAATTAAACTTATTGACAATTTTCAAAACTGAAGGTTCCTTAAAAAATTTACATCTTTGTAAGGAGGATTAGTGAATTTAAATAAAGTTTCATGGCAATAAATTATTATTTTTAATCCTTCTTCATTAGCACGGAAATGGTAGATTTGAACTATAAAAGGACCACCAAGAATTACTTAATGATCTAAATCTTTTACTGGATGGAAAATATTTTTGAAACAAATACTTGAATTACAAACATAAGCTTTTGAAAGTTTTTATTGAATGTTGAGAAGTTTTCCACTAGCTCCATAAAGGCACTTAGTGGTTTACACAAAATATTTTGTGAGGACTAGTCCTTCCCGTATACAAGTTTGATTAGCTCTTGAATCTATAAGGACTCTAGTTAACTTGAATTCTTGATTTATAATGACAGTCATTTGACAATACCATTTTTAAAGTCGAATTCTATTTATAAAATTTAGACTTGTTTCTTCATTTATTTGAGGTAGAACTTTGAGTTTCAATTTTAGAATCTGAACCTTTAGATTCTTCTTCATATTTATCTTTTGATTTGCCTATTGTAGGAATTTCTAAGGATTTTGTTTTTAAAAAAGACAACTTTCATTTTGACATCTTTCATTTGTCGCTCTAAGTTTGAAATTCGTATTTTCTTACTATTAATTTTTTATTATAGATCAGCAGTTGATATTTTTGACATGGACTCTTGCTTGACCCTGTTTATAATTTGAGACATATTTATTAATGGTTTTTGAGATATCAATAATTGATTAACATATTCGACTTTTTAACTACAAATTTTATCTTTACGACAACAAATCTATTTATCATTACTTGATTTCAAGGAAATTGAACTTTTTTTCAAAATCAGAGTCTTGTTGATTTTGATAAATTTGCTCTTTCATCAGATTCTGAACATTCTTTTGAACCAGAATTGACCATGTTTAAAATTTGGAATTTAAGATTTGAAGATTATAGATTTTCTTTTTCATTGTGCATTGATGAGAATAATGACCTATTTCCTTACATTTCGAACATGTAACAATATTTCTTTTAGTTTTGAAATATTTTCTTGCAGAACTTTCTGTTTGAGGTTTTTGATAATTATTTTCTCTTTGATATAATTTTTTCCTTATATTATATTTGATATGAGTTCTTGTTTTTTTGTTTTGTTTTTTTTTTCTTTGACCGAAGAAAGGGCAATGACATTTTCTAAATTATATTGTTCACAAAATGATATGAGTTCTCGTCGACTTTCAACTCTTTCATTCTTAAGCTTTGCTTTGAGTTTAGTATCATTACATAATGTTAATCCTTCTTTATTAATGTAATTGATCATTTTATGGCATATTGAGTGGTATCATCATTTTGAGTTTTGATATTGGTTCTAACTCTTTTAGCAAAATTTTCAGAAGTCCAAAATCAAATCTCTCTTTCTTTCTTTCTTTCTTTCTTTTTTTTTTTTTTCTTTTTTCAAAATGATTGATAACAATCTTTTCTATCAATAAATTTGGTGAGAAAAATATCTTTGTATAGTTGACAGTTGATAAGTACGTTTTTGCACACATATTTAATACATAAAAATGTTTAAATATTGATTAAAGGAGCGAGTTTTTACTTACAATTATGCAACTATTGCTTTTATATGTGAAAATCACCCAAGGAAATAGAACAAGGCAAAAGGAAGTGAAAATGGACCAAAAGCGTACAAAATTATGAAGTTGAGGACCAAGGTGCATAAGTCAAAAAGCTCAAGGACCTAGAGTTGCTATTTTGGAGGGCATGATTGATGTGAAAGTCAAAATTTGAGAATCAAATTGTACAAGATCAAAGTCGAGAGACTTGATGCAGAATTTTCTGGAGGATTAGCTGCAAAAATGGAACCAACTGATATTTTTGGCAGCAAGGGGCGCTGCCTCACAGTGCCAGTTCAAAATCATTGGGGACCGTTTTGCTTTTTGTACGAAATATAGGGACTTGACTACAAATTTTCCAAGTTTTAATAATATTAACACGGACAGCCACATTCCAGGGTCTTCTTCCTCTTTTCTTTTTTCTTTGTTTTTCTTTTTTTCATTTTTTTTCTTTCATTTTCTTCTCATTTTTTGGTATTTTGGAGAAGAATTAGAGCAACAAAAGGAGAAAACTCAAAGAAAGAGGAAGAGATCTTGGGGAAAATTCAAATTTAATCTATGACAATCTTCAAGAATCCAATCAAAAAGGGTATTTGAATTTTCTCCTAAATTTTTTCAATTATTTTCTTCCATTTGTTATGTATTGTATGAAATGTTTTCTTCTCTATCATTTCTAAAACTTGGGCTAAATTCTTGACGTTGGGTTTATGATTTAGTTTAATCTAGCTTTTATTAATATCGATATTTTTCTCTTTAATGTTAAACTATTTATTATTATTATTATTATTATTATTATTATTACGCCCCTCGTCAAACCACTTCGACATGTCAGTTCCACTCCTCTACGATGCAACACGTGTCCCTACGAAGTGGTTTCGAAGCGACATCAACCTCAGCCGAACTCCAACTTAACGCACCGCAAGACACACATTTCACAAACTAAATCTACTGAAGCAACCAAAGCGTCCTCCTGTAACCAAGGCGTTTGGCTCTCCGAGGTGCTCCCTTAACGTATACCTCCGCCACCAGTTTCAGAAGTATATCTACGTCAAGATTCTCTATAGATGTGACATCTCCATGGATCAAGTTAATGTAACATCAACTTTATGTCAACTCAACTCAGGAGAATTAGTAACCCACCCACTCTAGACGAGGTTGATTAACGTCGACGAACAGA